TCGGTTATTGAAACCAGGTAAACGTCATCACATCGAATGCTCATTTCTTAGGCACGTAAACAGGTTCTCTGCACTTGGGAGATTGGCGCAACATAATCTTTACAAATCTAATTTCTCGTAATTGGCCTTGAACTATATTAAGATACATCAGTCAGTTAAGTTTCGTACGTGATACACACCTGTGCAATTATATCTTTCCACAACTTTACAAAATTAACTGTTGACTCTTTTAAGGGCCATACATGATACACGCTTCAGCGATCATGTCTCTCCACAACTTCCTCACCTAAATAACTGTTGACTCATTCAAGTGCCATACGTGATACATATTTGGACGATCATGTCTCTCCACGACTTCCTCGCCTAAATAATTGTTGACTCTTTCAAATGCCACACGTAATACACGTTTGGGGGATCATGTCTCTCTCGAGTCATGACTGACGAGGCAGAAGATACATCAAGTAATTATCAAAATAAATGTTGGTAGGTTGTGTAGAGAAGAGTTAAACAGACACTCTCACATTTCTCTCTCCCTCTCCCTCTCTCCCTCTCTCTCTCTCTCTCTCTCTCTCTTACACACATAGACACACGCTCTCTATTTTTCTATTTCATTCAAATACATTTTCTCTCTCTCTATCATGAATCCACATACATCATTTATATCTATCACGTACATACACATTCTCTCTTTCTCTATTTTACACGTACACATGCGCATACACTCTCCTTTCTTTCTCACTCTCTCACTGACACAAACATACACATGCACACACGACACCCCACTCTCTCTGTCCCATAGGCACATCCACTTAATCTCTTTATCCCCCTCTCTCTCACACACATATACACATCCACTTACTCTCTTTATCTCTCTCTCTCTCTAACATATACAAAGGCTTATGGCCGTTTCACGTTGGAACAACGGTTCCCGTACGGTCACTGAAGTTAAACGACGTCGAGATTGGTTAGTAGCTAGACGGGTGATTGGTTGGGAATATCAGGTGCTGTAGTTTGGATGTGCGGGTGGTATAATAGATAATGGCTCAGAATTATTAATCAGAGGACAAAGTTCCAATTCCAGTTGGGTTCGTTATATTGACTTAGAAGCAAATACACTTGAGAAATGTATGGATCCACCTCTTCTCCCCCTCCAACTAAGGATTAATTAGTAAGACTTGTATGATTAAATCGTTATAATCTCAAAAATAAATTTCTTACCAAATAAAACTGTTCCCTGCCATTAAATAATCTGCAAAGGGTTGATAAGCCGTAAAAAAACAATTAATATATACACAGACTTGTTTTTTCTGTCAAACAAGCACATACGCCCCCCTCTCTCTCTAGCTATCTCTCTTTAATAGAGATATTTTTTCTTCTCTCCCTCTCTCTCACACACACACACACACACACACACACAAACGTTTACATACACACTTCTTCTCTGAGAAATTCTTCAATGTTAACACTTGTCGAAATGTAGGAAACCCTTCGTTTGTTATCTTTTTCTCTGTGCACCTCCCCGACTCAAACCTCGTCTCTCCACCCCCCGCGCCTCCATCGAAATGAGGAGAGAGCACTTTGAAAGATTGTTTTGCTCCATTTTCCACCTGACCAGAACGGGCTAGCCTTGAAAATCAGCTTTCCTTGAATAATGAACTGGAGGTTGCTAGACAAAACGACACAATTAAACCTTGGCTCACATACACGGACATAGGCACGTGCGTGCGCGCACACACGAACACATACACAAAGACAGGCAAACACACAAATACAGCGATAGATGCATAAATTTGTGCACACAGACACATAACTTTCCTCTTACGCATACAAACACATACGTACACACGTCTATACACACGTTCAAGCGGGTACACACACATGTTTAACATAATCTTTGTCGACAATGATTGTGTCAGTGTTTCTAGCCTCGAGGCCAAACTACTACTACTACTACTACTACTACTACTACTACTGTTGCTGCTGCTGTTTCGATTACATCGATTTCTTCTCCCGTCATTATTGATTGATTTCTGATATTTTTTTTACTTATAGCGATCATAATTCGATTAATATTCCAAGTATTGCGTTATCTGAAAAGTTACTTCGGTTTATTTCTATCTTTTTCCCTTTGTCATCTGATCAGGATGTGAGCTATCATCGCTCTCCACAGCTTCTTGATATTTCTTGCGTTCAACAATATCGGCTACTTCACAGTCCATCCTTTGTGGTAATTGTTCAATGTCCATTTTGACACCAAATTTCTTTCAAAAGAACGATCATCCGAAAAGTCCAATGCCTGATGAATACAGGAATTAAAACTTCAGCTGTTTCAATTTGGATTTGTTCACTAAACAAGAATCCTTTCTCTCTCTCGTTATCCTGACATAATTATTAAACTCTTTCTATTAACAAATTCTTAACATTTGAATTTCATTGATTTTCACCTGCTCTGTGAGCAGTACTTGTTCGAATCAATCTTTTAGTTCACTGGAAAAATAGCTTCCAGTAGAGAAACCGCTTGCTATTTCACCATATATTCAGCAATCTCTTCTGCGGTTGAAGACTTGCTTTTAATATGCATATCATTACTGCAGATGTCTTTCTCATGAACCAAGATCTCTTGTGTTCTAAAATGTTAAAAACGTATCTACTTTTTACACTTGTCACAGTTTGTTTCAAACTAACAGAAACAACATCACATGAAGACTTTCAACAGCGGAAACAACTAAAACGGATTGCACTTGTAACTCGATGAAAGAAAAATGACAGAATTAAGATGTTGACGTTTCACACTATTTTAAACAAAAGGTTAGCAAAGAATCCTCCATTACTACTGGAAAGAGCAATAATAGTGGACCTGAGAAACCTATCTTCCTGAAAAAATATTTTAGAATTTCAGCCGAAAGTCGCACGGGTTGTTCGATCAAGGAATGCCGGATGTTTCCTTATAAGGAAACAGTTAATATTACTATTATCAGATTATTCCAAAAGTTCGTACCCGATTTTCATTGTTAATATAAAATAACCTCAGCTTGTCACTGATGTTTGCTTTGGTGCTGATTTCTGGTGTGAAACCTTGGATCGTTCAGTTGTGAATCAGACTTTGTTGAATGTTGACCTTTTGTCCATAAGCGAATGCCTTAAAGATGTAGAAGGAAAAGTTGCACTGTGAATTTCGGAAAGGACTGAACGTTGGAACTGCAACAAAAACATTAAGAATATTTCCTTGAATCAAACTCCAAGTTTACGGCAGGTTTCGTCAGGGTGATATTAACCTAAACGACCATCTGGTCGAACTTCTGACATAGATAAAGAGAATGAACAGAAGATTTCGACGAAAAAGATTGCTAAGAGTTTGAAAATCGATGTTTCAACTGGTTTTTGTATTTGAAGAGACTTGTGTTCCTTTTGTCACGTTGGTGCCACATTCTCTGACGGAACAGATCAAACTCGATCGTGTAAAAGCGATTTATTTGCTGTTACATTCCGAAAGGGGACAGAATTGTCACAGGTGATAAAAATGGATCGCGTTTCTAACAACGTATGACGCAAACAAACTTGTGAATGTGCAGACATTGTGGTTAAAACTGGTTTACATTGATTGCACATGTTGCTGTCCGTTTGGTAGGATTGCAGAGGACAATTCACTTTGAGATTTCGTCCAGCCGGTGAAAGAAATTGCCAAGAAGTTCTGCGAGTAACTCACCAGTGTCAATGTGGCTATTGAAAAAAAAAAGGCCGATTTTGGCAAATCGAAAAGTTGTCCTTTTCCACCACAACAACAGCGCTTTTTTGCAAAACAGACTTTGCAGAAACTTAAGGAGTTGAAATGGGACCCCAACCTCCAACACCCACTGTATCCTCCTGACTTGCCTCCATTGGATTTTCAGTTGTTACCGTCTCTGCAGAACATTTTAACTGACAAAAGATTTAACTCTGAACAGTCAATCGAAAACTACCTCACAACATCCTTCCAACAAAAAACACAAAGTTTCTACGAAAAGCTCGATGGGAGACATTTTTTTTTAAAAACAATGGAGACTATGTCTTTGACTAATAAATGTTTTTTGGAGGCTATATTTTGTTTTTAATTTTCTAAGAGCAAGAACATTCACAATTAAATAGATACTACACTTTATATTTACTTGCCGCCAAACGCTGGCAGGATGTGACACAAGGTCAGTGTCATATGGGGAACACAAACGTATGCACCTGGGTCAGGCCCCCAAATAACCCCCAGACCCCGCAACAGTCAGTTGCCCTGGCATCGGTATTACTGCGTCATCAGCGCACTGGTTGCATCCATAGTAAGGAGTCCCGTCTCCCTCATTGTGCTTGATTGCCTTTGACCCTAGAAGAAGATTCATAGCCACCCCGTTTAAAGGTCTTGTTTTTAATTAGCTGGGTATTTAGACATACTCCTCACCAGCAAGATCTCGGAATAGTCGTCGATGACAAGACCATGTGACAGGTAGTACTATGTTACTTAGTATCAGTAGAACTCGACGACGGACTTGACATAACAATACAATTGTACAAATCTTTAATGTATTTTATTTTCATTTGAGTAACATTTTACATTTTATAAAGTATAAAGTATAATATAACAAAACTTTCGCTTGTTTTCTTTCATCTTCAATAATCAATAGAAACAATTTGCCAATATTGGTTCATTTAAAAATACACTGGTAAGACATTTCACAACGAAAGGCGATGTTTTTGAATGCAGTTAGCGAACACAAAGCATTCCAAGTGCTGTTGTTAGGTTAAATGTTTTCCTTTTCCTTAAGTAGCAGAAACCATGACCCTGAACAGTTAGTTAGTAAAACACAATCTAGACACTAGACAGCTTTGAGGTTGACACCGACCTGAGAAAATACTTCCGGGGCACGTACAAAAAATATAAACACTTGCAACATGACGTGCTGGATTTTTGAAGGTGAGACTTTTGTAATATTCTTTTGCTTTTTAGAGTCAGAGAGAAGGCATGTAACACTTTTCTATATTTCAGAGTGGGAGGGACGCAAGTTGTATGGGTAGTGAAAGACATGCAGGAAGAGGAAGGAGGGGAGAGGCTGAGTAGGCGGGAGGTCAGAAGCATGGAAATAAGAGATACGGGGAAAGAAAGAAGGGAAGAGAGATAAGCAGGTGGGAGGAAAGAGGGATGGAAAGAAGAAGAGATGCGGGAAGAGAAAGAAGGGAAGAGAGATAAGAAGGTGGGAGGTAAGAGGGGTGGAAAGAGGAAGAGATGCGGGAAGAGAAAGAAGGGAAGGAGGTAAGAGGGAGGAGGTCGAGTAAGAATGAGGCAAGAGGAAGAGATGTGTGAAGAGGAAGGAGATTAGGAGTAAGAAAGGGAAAAGCAGAATAAGACGGAGGCAAGAGACATGGAATGAGGGAGAGATACGGGAAGAGGGAAAGGAGTGGGAGGAAGAATGGAAGAAACGGGGAAGGAGGGAGGCAGGTGACCTGGAAAGGGGGGGAAGAGATGAAAAATAGAAGGAAGAAAAGAAAAAGAGACAGGAAGAAAAGGAAGAGACATTAAACAGAGGAGGAATAAGGCAAGAGACATGGAAAGAGGAAGAGATACAGGAAGGGGGAAAAGAATAGAAGGAAGAGGCAGAGGAGGAGTAAGGCAAGAGACATGGAAAGAGGAAGAAATCCGGGAAGAGACAAAGCAGGAGGAAGAGATGCAGGAAGAGGAAGAATATTACAAGGAGAAGGGAAGAAGCAGAGTAGGAGGCAAGAGACATCAAAAGAGAAAGAGATTTGGGCGAGTGAAAAGAATAGATAGAAAAAGGGAAGAGACAGAGTAGGAGAGAGGAAAGAGGAATAGAAATAGGAAGAGAATGCAAGAGAGGAAAGAATAATAGAAGAAAAAATTGACCTGAAGAAAGGGAGAAAAGGAATGAAAGGAAAAAGATTGAAGGAAGGGAAGGAAGGAATAGTCTAGAAAATAAGACACCGAGAACAACGTGTAGAAATAAAATAAAAAAAATCCAAAAGGTGAAGAAAGAAGAAAAGGAAGAAAGAGAAAATTGAAGGATCCTGAAAAGTTTTGTTCAAATCAGTGATCATTAAGGAACGGTGGAATAATGGATAGCGACTCGGATTGAGGAATCGGAGAGCCGAGTTCGAATTCCACTCGAATCGATTACATTCACTTACATACTCATACCCTTGGGAAAGGTATGAATCCTCTTTTTCTCCCCCTTCAGCTATGGGTAAATAGCGGGACAGACCGGATTCTATAGTTTTGGATGGCAACCGGTCTACCGCAGAAAGAAATGGCAGCCTACTACAGGAAAAAATCTGCCTCGTCAGTCATGTATCGAAAAATACATAATCGCCTAAGCGTGTATCACGCATGACACATAACGGACTGAATCATGTCTTCGTCAGTTGGCAAGTCACGTTTTTGGAAGCTACGATAATATCCTAGCAACCTTCAACTTCGAATGTCGGAGACAGTTACAAAATCTAATTGAAGCAAATCATAGTGTCTGAAAATTATGTCAAAAATGATGAATCGATGATTCATTTGTTTTTTCTGGCTTAGCTTCTACTTCAAAGTCAGAGGAGATGTTTTATCTAAAGTCAGTGTTTTTCGACTGTATTTTTTGCCACGGATTCTGTTCAGAGGCGAAGGGTTTAAGAGTTTTCTAGTCGCCATCGTCACACAACTCAACTGGTGATAATTGTAATCAGGTAAAAGTAAATATATACAAATTAGCTGATTTTATTTGTAATTCGATGCGATTATATTATTAATGTGGCGATTATATTATAGGATAAAATGTCATATGGGACATTGTTGGTGAATTGGTGAAAATAGATTCACATAGATATTAATAGGCTGAGTTAGATAAGGACATACTGAAATAGAGAAAGAAAAACAAAGATAATAAATATATATATATATATATATATATATATATATATATATATATATATATATATATATATGTGTGTGTGTGTGTGTGTATATATAATATATATATATATATACGTATATATAAACACAATTAGATACGAATAAATATACCTAGATAGACTAATGATAAATAGTGAAAAAAAAATTAGATAATGAACGATATATATATATATATATATATATATATATATATATATATATATATATATATATATATATATATATATATATATATATAATTTAAATAAAAACAGACCATTTAAGGTTCCATGTAATAAATTATTTCACCACAGCCCTTTTGTTTGGAAGTAAAGTCTGATGATCACAGTCCTTTTAAAAGGGCTGTGGTGAAATAATTTATTACATGGAACCTTAAAGTGGTCTGTTTTATTTAAATTATTTGCTCTGAATTTACATTGAGCTCTCTGGATTTTATCCTCCTTGGGTTTACCCATACGGATTACCTAGTTTTTCATAAACTATATATATATATATATATATATATACACACACACAGTTTTATATATATATATATATATATATATATATATATATATATATATATATATATATATATATATATATATATATACAGAAATACAGGTAATCGATGTTTGGTATATAATCTGGGTGGATCCTAGTAATATTATCTGGGTGGATAAAGACCCCTTGTAGTTGTAAAATTAAGAAAAACTGCCAGTTGAGGTCAAACGCAGATCCACTAGAGTAGTATACCAAGCAACCATTAACCCTAAAGAAAATATAACAAATTATAATATTTACTTTGGCATTTCTGCAGGAGAATTTCAACAGAGAGAATCAATAAACATAGACACTCATTTACCAATCAAAAATTAAAGCCCCAGACAGCCCTTTCAAAAAAAATTTGGGAATTGAAGTAAAAGAGTCTGAATCCTCAAATAATTTGCAAAATTTTAGGTTTCGCAAATACCCCCCACAGTTTTAGGGAAAATGTGCAAGCTATATTTAGAAGATAAAATCAGGATAATAAAATATAAAGATCAATGCAAACTATTAAATCAACGGAGAGAACTAATCAGAAAATTCACACGTGCATATATGTGGGGGGTGTATGTGTACGTATAGTGGCATATATGTATGAACATGTAAATGCACATATATGTAAGTATGAAGATATGTACGCATATAAGTGTGTTGGACAACATGATTTATTCCATTAGGTGCTCTGGTATTACCCATAATCTATAAATCTATAACTCAACTAATTTACATTAATCTTAACGGGATTTTAACTTTAAATCTCCAATCACTTCTGAATAATATTGGACACCTGTAGTACAAAAACTATTTACTGTGGATCTCAGAAAAACACACTCGGGGCCTTTATAAGAGACTCCACATAGGAGGAACTGATATTAAACTACAAAAAACATTTTTCTGGCCATAAAAACTCTCCAACGCCAGACCAAATCCGTAGTTAAAAATCAGTAGTTAGTAATCCAAGTGAATGCTAGTAATATGTTGATAAGCCCATCAGAAGCGCGAAATGGCCATTCTTTTGAGTGATTTTCATCTGTAATTCAAATATATATATATATATATATATATATATATATATATATATATAGAGAGAGAGAGAGAGAGAGAGAGAGAGAGAGAGAGAAAGAGGTGAAATAACATATTTTCTGAGCTATTTTCTATCTTTTCTTTTTGTTTAAATTTAACAGGGATCCATATATTCAAATATCAAAAGCAAATACATTCTTTCTTGAAACATTTAAGACATTTTCTATCATGTCAACCAACCTCGATGCATTTTTATTATTATTCCACGATAAAATCCTAAAATGATTCCTTTATCTTGCATCCTGTTACATGACAATAATAGAATTGCACATTGTATTGCACAGTCTGTTGTTACATCTTCTTAACAATGAAATAAACTTTTATGTTCCAATTACATAGGGGGTTAGATTATTTTTCTCTTGTAATTGAAACTCTTGAAAAAAAAAAGCTGAAATCCTTTTTTTATCTGATAGAAAGTCTTGATGTCAAAATGATATTTCAGCAAAACAATCCAATTACTTGGGATAATTATCTTTGTTAAGATTATCTTTCCTTTATTGTGTCCACACAATGGCAGTTCCGTTTACTAATTGTTTTAAATCTTGTTTGTTTCCATCAATTAATTTGTCAAGTCGTTCCTCTAGGAGACTTACTAATAGCAATGACACACAAAAACACCAGTTGGCTTTAGACATTTGTAATTAAATGACACAGATTTAGAACGAGGTTTGCAGTCAGAATATGTTTGCAGTTACACCAAGCGCCATCAGTTTACGTTTTATCTGATACGGGCTGAAAAAAAAAAGCATGGCACCCAAACGACAGAGTTTTTCTTCTGATGCACATAAACAATCAATTTGTTCAGATAATTTGTAACGCGAATACTTGTCGACTTTAGTTTTCACTACAAAAGTAGATCGGCCAGATTTGATAATTTCTTGCTTTTCAGTAGATAATCTTCTGCACAAGTGATTTTCATTTTAGATCTGATATCTTTCTCTATTTATGTTTATTTTAACAACAGTCTAAGTGTCTTCTTCAAAACAATGCAACATATCCATAAAAACATAAAACTCTTAAAATATTAATTTTATTTTAATAATTTGTTTAATTATTAAAAAAATAAAATGAAAAAATATTAGGTAGACTGAAATACAGTAAGCATCTGTTTATCTTGCTAGATAAAAGGTAGCGGGCCGTGGTCAAAATTCAATTCCTTGTTAGTGAAACTAGTGTGACCACTCCAGAGCGTAGTCCTGGGTGATGATATACGAAGGGCGTGCACTGCTACATGGCCCACTCTCGGCAGTCACCACACGACCCAATGGAATACAGACCATTGCATTTGGAAGCGATATGGCTGCAGGAATTGCCGGAAAGTTTTCAGTGCTGACAGTAAACAGCCTTCGAGGCTTTCACGCCGAGGTTTATGTCCGGATTTTACTTCCATAGCCTTTTCCGTGTTTGGTTATGATCACAAGGCGACGAAGGTTTAAATCAAACATTTCATTCCTCTGGATGGACTGCCTTCCCGGGCAATAAATATAACATACTATAAAGCTATATTTGATCATATGTATGTATAATTTTCCTTTTGTCTTTATTCATATATATATATATATATATATATATATATATATATATATATATATATATAAATATATATATATATTTTTTAAACAACATCTAAAATATTATTACAGTTAGATTTACGTTAAGAATATTCGAACACAGTGGCGTTCCATATCACGTGACGCCCGCATCTCGCGACGGACGCTACTTGTAAACAAACAGTTATTTCTGAAGAAAGATTGAGGTCAAAGTGAAATATCAAATATATATATATATATAAATAAATAAATACTTTCAATGGAAAAAAAAACATTATTATTTTTTCTAATTTTCAACTTTTTCTATATATATATATATATATATATATATATATATATATATAAATTATATATATATATATATATATATATATATATATATATATAAAAATATAGCTTTATTGTATGCTATATTTATTGGCTAAAAGGCTCAATATCAGCGATAAAGTGTATGTAAATATAAAAGTGGACAGTGAGCTCAACACCTAGCGGCGATAGTCTGTTTTGAACTCAATTTTCAGTATATGAACTCAGTTATAAAATCCATATTTTCATATTTAATAATCCACCAGTGTCACCAAAGCCACCAAGTCGAGTCAATCCCCAAATCCCCAAGCAAATAATCGTCCATTAACTTCACACGAACTCGTATTTCGATTGTACTGTATTTGTGTAGACTTTGAAAGGATGTGAAATTTGGATCACTTTAAAGGTGAAAACGGTTAGCATAAAATCGGCTATTAATTTGTGTTCATAGAAGCCTTCATACATGAAAGGAAAGATATGAATAATTCTTTTTGTGATTAAATGTGGCAGTCAGAAATGTGTTTTCCTCTGATTAGACGGACATATTGAAA